TTTCTTTTAGCAAAATCTAATTTCTGTCACTGGGTTTAGACTCAAGTTACGCTAAAGTCTTCTACTGCCTTTATCGTTGTCAAAGATTCAAATAATAAGTTGTATTGAGCTAGAGGCAACTTGTTCAACCAATAAGATGCTTGCGCTGGCCAACAAATATGGAGGTCAATAAAGAATAACAATAATTTTCGCTGGGTTGTAGTAAAAGTTGATGCGAACACCCTCCTTATTGTTCTATCTCTCCGTTATAATTCAACTCCGTAAAAAGAAGAATTTGATCAAAAGCGAATATCCAGAAATGCGTTCTTGGTTCGTTTTTTGTGCTTTAATTATATAACAACCGTCGAACGCACTTTACATCGTTTATCGACAGATGCCTAAAACGCTAATTCATCTGGATTTGCGGGATTGTGAACATCAGAAAATGCATTTTGTTATCCTGGAGCGCATAGCCATTTGAGGATGAAACGCTTCAAAACACGTTGGTTATGTGGTGCACCATCGTCAATCAAACGCGTGTATAGTTGAAAAGACGACACCGCAATGTTGTCTGGACTGTTTTTTTTGCGTTTATCCTCATTTTATTCAGACGTGTAGGAATGCGTTCATTCTTATTAGAACTAGCACATTATATAACATATCATATTTATTTAATTGACACTAAAAATAATGATAAAACATTTTCAGACATGGAAAATTGGATTGAAGAAATTAAATTAAATATTAATGAAATTAAAATTGATGATGAACAAATTGTAGAACATAAAAATGTTTCAGAAAGTTCGCATTTAATGCATAAAATACAAACAGCAAAAGTAAAGATGTCTCATATTGTTGATAGTGTAAAACGTACAGCAACAACAACAATATAAAAAATAACTGGAACTTCACAAAATAATGTAATTAATGATTATACCAAATATATTGGACAATATGGCGTACGTTTTTCTGTTTATGATTTGGTATTAATTGCATTTCATTTCAATATTTGTATTAAAGTATACACATCATTTCATAATGATAATGATGATAATAAATTAAATCTACATTCAATATTCAATGAAACAGCGACAAATATTAAACATGTTCAATTTCAGTAGAATAAATTTATTAAAATAACTGTGAAACTCGTAAAAGATTTGGAAAACAAATACCAAATATATAAAAATATATTAAACGCTATTAATTTAATGCAAAATAGCTCGAAATTTGAATTTTATTTAGAAAGTAACGAACTTAATGAATATTCAAAAGATGAACGTACAGATGTAATAGGTGAAAAAACAATAACAACAAAACAAAATAATAATTGGTGAAAATGAAACGAAAACATATGATGATAATAATTATATGAAAGAAGAAGAAGCTAGAAATTTTCTGAACACATAGATTTGTAGAGCCAACATTTCTGATCAAAATAAGACCTCGCACAACTCTGTATGATCTTGCATCAAAAAGTTACAGGCATTTTCTTAGAAGTCCTAAAATCGAGTATTTCATACAGCGTTTAATAGAGCGTTTTCTCTATATAAGAGTTACACCTGAAGTGTGTCCCAAGATTGTTAATAGTGGTTTGTCGCAGATAGTTCATTCTTTTTTTGTTTAAAAAAGGAAAAGAAACTACATGAACTGCTTGGTGTTGATTTTTGAATTAGGTCTTAGGTTTTAGTCAAACTGAGGATTTTTAGAAAATACGCAAGCATTTTTCGGGATTGGAGGTTATTGGTTGCCTGGAAAACCAATAAAGGCTTAATAGAAAAATCGGCGCCGGTTAGTCCATGTAGTTAGGTATCTAGTTTAAAATAGAACAAACCCGAACTCTCGAGCTTGAAGTATATTAAAAAATCTTGGGGCGCACTTCGGGGTCCTTTTAGGACCTTGATCTCTGGAAAACTCCTAAACCGTAAGACTTGGGGACAAAACAATTTTTTGTAGTTTCAAGCTCGTATGAAAATTAGTACTGTTCTTTTCAAATTAACAAAATGACTGAAGGTTATTTAACGCCTATTAGAATTTGACTTTGTGAGAATGATGAGTATCACTTAAACTGATTACAGAGGGTGGTATCTTGATAATTAACTTAGTTCAATTTTCAATAGAAACGAACGCTACTTTCATCAAATTGAACACTCTTTCCTTGTTTGTGTTATTTTTTTCCTGATGTTTTTTTCTCATCCTACACCAGAAATGGTAGCGGATCTAACTAACTAACTAACCGAAAGTTATTTAACAGAAACAAGCATAAAGACTAAAGCAGAAGAATGCACTGTTCTAAAAACAAGATTTAATCTTTTAATTACTTTTCTTGCATACAAAACAAGAAAAGTAATTTGTTCTTGTTATTCCATCAATTGGAATTTTTTTCAACACAAGAGTGATGATATATAAAAAGGTTTTCTGAAAGGCAAACAAAATGTGCAGCTCTGCAGCTATAGTTTAAATAGCATTCACAGTGAGACGAAACAAACAAAGAAACAATGAAGTCCTCTATTGTAACACCTAGCACCAATGATACAGGTATAAAAAAATTACCGTTTAAACAAGGATTAATTATTGGTACTATTACTGTTACAGTTATCAGTCTACTCGTTGCTATATTAGTAATTGTAAAACGAGGTACGCCTATCGAAAGGTTTCGTTATATTCATATTTATATTTATCATAAATTGTTTTCTTTTCTTTAAGATCAATCCATCCCTACTGCTGCAGCAACAACAACAGCAACAACAACAGCAACAACAACAGCAACAACAAGTAGTAAGAAAGAATCTGATTTTCTATGATGAGGCTGTAGAACGTGGGTTAAAGTTAACATTCTTTTCTGGGACACTAGGTTTCATGAAAGTGGAACTATCATGAGAATGGAATCAGTAATTTCAATCATCAGTGTAGTACGCCCTCGTTTACCGGGTATTTCTATCACTGTATACATTCGAAACAGCGTTAAGAAATTTTAGTTGTTAGAGTATAACGTTGAATATCCAACTTATTTATCTTGTGAATACTTCATGTTATTGTGGGTCGAATGGGTACAACAATTACTATGCCTACGTCCACTGTCCCACGTCATTCGCGGCGCGATCCCGCTGTCGCTACCGCGATCGCTATGATATCCCGCATGTCGCGGCGCCATCGCGATAAAATCTTATATTCGTGACGCGATCGCTATAATGTCGCGATTCGGGTGTGATCTTGCTCAACTGTTACTTTCAAAACTTTGTTTTAAGAGTCGCTGCGCTATATGTCGCTATATGGCGTAACCTTCCTCAATGGTGATGAGGACTCTCACATTTTGTATGCAATATTTTAACCTTCTAATATAGCGAAACTGAGTTTACAGTACTTTATTTTGCCTCTGGAAAATATTAGTTGTTTGAAGTCCTTTGATTAATCAAATAAGATGTTAACATCCAGATTATTTTCTTTCGTTTCAGATGTTAGTAAATCGACAACAGCAACTGTGATGGTAGTGACAAGTACAACAACAATATCTACCAGTACCACTGGAACAGCACAAACCACTACTATAACTGTGGCTACCATCAGCGGTACACCAATCACAACAACAACTACATTTATAACTACAGCTACTGCTGCAACAAGTAAGCCTCTAGACGAGCAAATATTCGATCTGTATAGCGAGGTTAGAACATAGTTTATTATGCTATATGTAGTCAGTCTGGTTAAAACCTTTTCTTTTACATTAGGAGCTTTGTTTGTGAGAGATCAAAGCGAACTAATAAATGCTAATCTGCGACCCTAATTAACGCAAGACATTTTATTTTCGTATTAGTGCGTTTTTTACGATGGTTTTTGGAGTTTGCTTGAAACAAAACCTTTTACAAGTTATTGGTCCAAGTAATCGCAAAAGGTTTTCTTTTTCTAGCTGGATTCAAAAATAATTTTTTCTTCAGTACGGTTCCGGAGCCTGGTCTTCGATAGATTACATTTGCCTTTCATTATATAATGTATGTCATCTAATCTTTGGCTTAAAACAACTCTTTTTAATTTTCAGGTCAAACGACCAGCAGCATCCTCACAACAACCACATCTACAGGAATAAGTATTTGTTACACTCGTTCATGGAATACAACAGGAACAACTGTAGCCGGTTTAACACTCGGCCCCAGTGGTGGTTGTGCATTATTAAATCAATTATATAACCCATTTTATTTAGTTATTGATAGTTCATTTAATATTTATATTAGTGATCGTATAAATCATAGAATCGTTAAATGGCAACAAAATGCAACAACGGGACAACTGTTTGCTGGTGACGGTACAGCGGGTAATTTATCAAGTCAATTTAATCGACCAGCTGGCTTATATCTTGACCAAATCAATCAAATTTTATATGTGGCTGATTCAGCTAATCGTCGTATACAAAAATTTTCATTAAATTCAGCAATGATCCCATTGAATGATACAACAGTCATTGGTAATACAAGTCAGTTAACACGTCTAATAGCTGTGTATTTCGATACAGTCAATCAATATTTATATATCTTAGATGTATGGACGAGTAGTGTATTGTTATTTACAGCAAATTTAACTCAAGGTATTGTTGTTGCTGGAGGAAATGGAAATGGCTCTTTATTGACACAATTTAATAACCCAGTTAGTTTATTTATTGATCAAAATTCATCAACAATCTATGTTAGTGATGCATCTAATTATCGTGTTACTAAATGGCTGAAGAATGCAACAATGGGTGTACTAGTCGCCGGTGCTTATGGCCAAGGTGTAAATGCCAGTCAACTTTATTATCCATCAGGTATTACTGTTGACAAAAATGGTACGATCTATACAGCTGATTTTGTTAATTGTCGTATACAAGAATGGTCAACAAATGTCACACAAGGAAGGACTATTGCTGATAGTTCAAATGGTACCATTGGTTATGCATCAAATTTACTCGATAGACCTTATAATTTGAGATTTGATTTAAATATGAAGCTCTACGTTGTTGATAGTCTGAATAATCGAATACAAAAGTATAATGTTATTAATAATTCATGTTAGAAACAACGTTAAATTACACTGAACATATTACTATAAACGCCGCATACTGTTTTCTTTTGCTGTTGTAAGGTGCCGCTAATTCAAACTTACCGCAAAAAAGTTTTTTTCGACGAATGGTTGGATAGAGCTCACCATAAAGCTACCATTTTGATACAATAGTATAAAAGTGCACGTTTTCTGGAAGCTATCTTAAATCTCATCGTTTTCATTTTGTTATGTATTTTAGATGCACGTAACAAAATTACATCATCTCCACTTATACGATAATTAAGAATTTAACGATTAGATACAAATTTAAAAATGTCTGTAAAGTGTTCGCTCAAGAAGAAAAAGATTATCCTGGTTTAAATAAGTATTTGTGATTTGATAAAATCTTTAATGAAAAGGTCCTCCCTCTATCTATTTGGATTATCCTTTAGGTCGTTCTGGCTTATAATCCTAGCTCATCTTTCTCTTAAACCCACAGAACAGTAAAGAAACAGAAAAAAAGGGAATCCCTCAGCCGCCGCCGTTGAAAATGCTTGAGAAATTTTATACTTGCTTTTTTGTAGAAAAATTGCACATAAGAAGAAAAAAATCATTCAGCCACCAAAGGCGAAAAGGTCGTATTACGAAAGCATCTTAAAGATGCTTTCAGCTGCCGCTGTGGATCGGAAAAATTCAATAGGCAGCCGTCCTCAACCAAATGATCAACTGACACGTGTATACCCGACTCGATCCGAATTTCTCAACAAAATTTCCAATCTTGACTCAAATTACTCGAAATTTTTCCATTTCGGACCCAATTCGACCCGAACTAGATGTATCTTTTCTGTTTCTAAATAGTGCTGTCAGATAAAAATAATAAAGAATTATAGAAAAAGTCGTGGTATGTTGATACAATTACCATCAAAACTTGTGAAAAATTATTTGTGTACTGACATTGTCTATTCCAGACTGAAAATGAGAATACAAGTCGTGTTAATTCGTTCGTTTTTGATATGAAAGACCCGCGCCGATTGATATATTTCTGATTTTGTACACCCTGCATCTTTCTTCCGGGATGAACAGTTGTTGATTGAACAACAGATGCTTCCTTCATATTGTCTCAAACGTATTTTCAAGAACTTGTGCAATATTTTCGGTTATGATCGAGAGTTTTCCAAAGTTGAATCTACAACAAACATGTAGCAAATTTAATTGTCTAAATCTTTTCTGCTAGACTCAACGCTGAAGTTATTTCAGTAGCAACCGCAGTGAACCGTTTATGTTTTATGTACTATTTTTACTGTGAAGATCGATTTGAACAGCGTTGAGTCTAGCAGATAAGATTTAGACAATTAAATTTGCTACATGTTTGTTTCTAGATTCAACTTTGAAAACCTCTTTCTTCACGATGAAAAGTCGGAAATATTACCCTTTTAACTAAAAGGCTCCGAAAACATTTAAGTGACTACTGGCGTAGTTGAAGTCGAACAAAAAAAATAAAAGTCTATTTGATCGAAAAACCTTCCTATGCAATGACCTGTACTCAGTGCAGCCAGTGCATAGGTTGAAGTAGATCCTGACTTATGCAATTGGTCTGAAATGAAGGTTTTATAGAAGCTAGGTGGTTTTCTCGCTTTCACGACTTTTTTTAGATTCACAAAATCTGTATCTTTTTCTGTGTATGTTCATAGCATACGAGAGATGCAATTGTGTACTCATCAATTTTTGATGAAGAAACAAATATTTTTTCATAAACATCACTCTTTTCTATCCAGAATTTTTTTGTATACTTTTGTTAAAGTATCAATACAAGTTAATAGTAGTAAATGATTGCATAATATACAAGCGCCGAACGCAAATTTCAACCATTCTGTACAATTCAGTCCCGCATAAGAATATGCTTACAAAGCTACTGTGTAATCTTTCAAAATATAAAAGCGCTTACCGAGTGTCTGAAAAATTTTATGAGTATATGAATAATTGTAACTATGGGTAAGAGCTAAAATAACATCAGTATGAAGCATTATACTGGTGCAGCATATCACAGTATGAATCATGTGGTTTATCACGTAATCCACTAAAATATTAATATCAATTTTCGAACATTGTTCGATAGATCTTTTGCATATTTTAACAGGCGAGAGATAACCCGAATGAGGCATTATTGAAGTGATTGACAGTTTTTACATTGTAAAGTATTACACATCTAACAATGTGATTTACGGCGAAATATGTTGAGTGTTTTGTACAGATATTACATTTTCGTTGTCTACGTTTGTTCCAGATTAGGCGGAGTTTGAACAATATAATACAAATCATTTGTATTCATATAATTGTTCAATATCTCTTGTTTATTGCTGCAATTATCAGAGACATATTTTATTATTAGATGAATGATTGCACAACTTCTAGATTCGGCAAATATTTCATCTCTTTTGCTAACTCTTCATCTGGTTTATACTTCTCACTCGCTCCATCCAGATATATATTGTGTAACAGAGGATTTGTGAGTATTTGGGTGGGTTCGGTTGTTTGCTCAACACAACTTATCAACTAATTCCATTCATTCATTACTTTCAAATAAACTTGTACGCTGCGGTACTGTTGGTGTCTCATACCGCACTGCCTATGTATCTTATCCGTCAATAGCACATCTAACTAGGATATGAACGGATTATCGAAAAGACAAATATACAATTTCATAACATCTTCTGTATGATCATTCACATTCAAAAATACTTGACGACAAGCATAGCATTCAACATATTTAGTTGGCATTTGTTCCAAATGACGAATTTTACCATTGGATAACCGGTAATTATTTATTGTTATGTATTCAGTACCAGTTGCTAACATCAGATAGACGTTGAAGCGAGAATAAAGTGCAAACAGAAACACTTTCTACCTGTCTTGCAAGATTTTCAATCTGATAGTTTATATCTTTCTCTTTAAAACTGCACGTTTAGGTGATCACAATAAAGAGAAAATACCACTAGTAACAGTTTGGGGATCAATTTTCACCTCGAAGTACGTTGAAACGAGGCATAACTGTTTCAAGAAACTATTTATCTGATTCTTTTCATAGTTGTATAGATGATCGTTTGTCGTCTGGTCTTGAAAATCATGATCTAATCTGTAAGCAAGATCTAATGTGATAGTTCCATTTTGAACAAAACCTTGTAATTAACTGAGCTTGAGCGTGATAGGCAAAAAATATGTATGGTTTCACCGTTTCTTTACAAGATCTAATCTCAGTCACCATTTAGACGGCGTTTCAGCCATTACATATCTGTCCAAGTAGCGGCTGACCATTTGACCTCTCACTTTCTACCTTAAATTGGATATCAAAAGATAGCTACGGATGTCTACTTTCTGTTACTGAATAGCGCTCCTCTGTGTTCTAAAGTTATTCGAAAGACCACCATAGTCATACTATTTTCAACTGAACAATATCTTTCCGTTTTAAAAGATCAAAACTTATCCAGAGACATTCTTTATTAAATTCAACAACACATTTCTTTTCTAAGCCTTGAGTTTCGCACACGTGAGCAAATTATTCAATCTAGTTCTTCTTCCATTCTATGGTTTCTTTACAAAATCTGGCCTCAATCACCATTTAGACGACGTTTCAGCCATTTTAGACCAGTCCAAGTAGTGGCTGACTACTTGACCCCTCACTTTCTACATTGAATTTAAATCAAAATATAGCTACCGGTGTCTACTTTCCGTTACTGAATACCGCTTCTATGGAGGTGGGTGTGTTCTAGAGTTATTCCAAAAACCACGTCGTCATACTATTTCACTGAACAACAACTTTCCGTATTAAAAGATCGAAACTTATCAAGAGATATTCTTTATTAAATTCAACAATATATTTCTTTGCTAAACTTTGATTTTCACACACATACGCGAGTCAGTCGGTCAATCTAGTTCTTCTTCGGCGCAGAATCGGCAAACAGATTCGCGCTCATCGCCTCCGGATACCGTGCGCCTGCTGTATCGGCTTGCTCGCAAGCCTTGCGAATTTCTTCCACTTCCTCCTTGCTCAGCTTGATCTGTGCCGCAGCGACGTTCTCTTCCAAGTTCTTGATCTTCGTCGTGCCCGGTATCGGGATGAAATCCTCGCCTTGAGCAAGGATCCAGGCCAGTGTAAGTTGACCGGGGGTGCAGCTCTTTTTCTTGGCTATCGCCGTCAACGTTTCGACCAACTGGAGATTCTTGGCAAAGTTTTCCTTGGAGAAACGCGGTATATGCTTTCGGAAATCGCCCTCTTCAAGATCGTCAGGACTCTTGATTTGTCCGGTGAGTATGCCACGACCCAACGGCGAATAGCAGACGATCGCCACGCCGAGTTCCCGGCACGTTTTCAGAAGACCGATTTCTTCATGCTCGATTTCCATGCTAAAGGGTGAATATTCGATTTGCACCGCCGCGACTGGATGGACGGCGTGGGCTCGTCGAAGCGTGTCACTTGAACATTCAGACAGGCCGATGTGCTTGATCTTGCCAGCCTGAACGAGTTCTTTCAACACACCCATTGTCTCCTCGATCGGCACGGTCTTGTCAATGCGATGCACATAATAGAGATCAACCGAGTCGAGTCCGAGACGCGTGAAGCTTTTGGCACTCGCCTCACGAACGTATTGAGCATCGCCTCGGACGGAGAACTTGCGATCCGCAGAGATGACGTTGGCAAACTTGGTGGCGAGGAAGACCTACCGATGAGAAAACATATTCCATGTATAAAAACAGACAAGCAGGAGGTCGTTGTTTTCTTTCTATCATCTTAAGATTACACTACACTGCAAAACTGTTCATACAATGAATGTTTCTATTACATCTGTTACTATAAACCTGTTTCTGATTTCAAATATACCAAATGAAAGGTCGATAGCTCTTCTGTATACTCAAAAATTTCTTTTTTGGCGGAGTTATAGGATCAACAAGTAGGACGACTATAGTTTTAGTGTCTAAAAGTCTTCCTACGATTTTTCTAAAATTCGTTTCTCTTCACAGACAAATGGTAGAAAGTCTGCCAATATCTCATTTTGAAGGAGAATGAGAGAGTCACATTTTGGCAAAAAAAATAATTTTGAAAAGCCTTTTCCTTAGGGTGAAAAAGGCCACTTTAAGGGGGGTCCCCCCATTTAGATTTTTCTCTAGCGTTCCCAGTTTGTAGAGGATACTTCGAAGTATATGTCCTGAAGTTTTTTCGGCTTACTGACGTTATTTGGCTGAGAAAAAAATTAATTACTTAAAAAAATGTTGTTAAATTTTTGAGCACGAGGTTATTACAAAAAAAATTCCTGTCCATTCTCCATTCATCACAAAAGGTTGGTTCTTGCCTAGATCGATAGAGAAATGTGTGGAGAATATTTACGACGAGAAAATATGTAAAAATTTTTGTTCTTTTCTTCCGGTTATTGACTAATTAGTACTAATTAACGTTAATTTAGCCTACTCTACTAG